TTAATTGGATATGATAGCATAGTATCAGTTCATTTAATAAGTACTAATTAATTAAATTGTATAGAAATTTACCATGCTTTTTATTTGGTATTAAATAACAAGTGATAATTAATAAGAAAATACTTATACACGATATGTAACGAAACCACTTTAAACAAAAGCACAAATATTTTTACATTTAAAGCTCAAATTCTATGCAAATACACAAAAGCTATTCATTATTTCTGTAGTAAGTGATCGATAAAAATACAATTATCATAAAAAAATACTCTGTATTTCTCTGTTTCTCCGTTCAAACCAAAAGGTTTAATGAATGAAAAAAAAAACAAATTCTCGAATACATTATAAACACATACAGAATATATTCTTATTAAAAAACAAATACAAATCGAGATAAAAGTTTGCGCTTATAAACCTTTTTTAGATTTGACTTTAGATTGAAATAGCTTTGTATTATAAATACTGTATTAGTCTCTATGTATTGCTCGAAAATATCGTATTTAATTTGCTTTAAATACATGAGATTAGTAAAAATTACAAATAATATTATTAATTAAGTTAATATTAGTTAGTTTGGGTTAGTTTGATTAGGTTAGGTTTAACTAGTTAATTCTACAATTTAAGTTAATTTTTTGCAATGTTTTTTGAGCAAGTGTCCTTTGGGCAAATGTCTTTCGAGCAAATGTCATATACCGTCTCTATTTTTAGAATATTATTTGTTTTCATACTATTTGCATAAAATATTTTCAAAAGAAACTAAAAATAAATCAACAATTCATTTGTTTTCAAGTGTTTACAAAGAAATAGAAATACGAGAAACAGACAAAAAGTAATAATTTATGAAAATATTGCAGTGATTACTGAATTGAGAGTTTATTAAATATTTAAGCATTATTTGAATTTATTCTTATAGTTAGTGTTTAAAGAGTAATACCGTTTATAAGTAATTTATTTGCTTACATTTTGTGTGTAAACATATTTTTATTGATTTTATATCTTGTCTTTAAAAAGATTTTTGTTATATACTTTTATAACAATTTCAAATTTTCCAGTTTTGTGGACTAATTTCACCAAAACCTATCAGTCTATAGTACCGGTGCTTTAACACTGTTTCATAAATCATATAATGCATTAGATATCGATTATTAATTTGTATTAATTTAAAAATCATTTCTTTGGATAAGAATGAAAAACAAATTTTTGAATAATAGAGGTTTAAGTACCGTTTGATGGCATGAATTTTGGTGATGAGGACAAACAGGACCTACAAAATCGATATAATAATTCTTATATTACGATAGTTTGTCACAAATAATAAAAATAAAAAGCCCTGTTTTGAGTGACTTTCAGGCTGTGGTTTAACAGTCGGTGTAGAGATGTGTATAATATGAACATCACTTAAAACTATAAAAAAAAATAATAACCAAAAGTATTATGTAATGCCATAGAATTTAACTCATATTCTTGTGTTTTCAGCACTCATTAAAGTTTATTTGGCAAAAGATATTAAAGTTTTCGCTTTTTGTTTCTTTGATCATAAATAACATAAAAAATGAAATAATAATAATAGGAGTGTTAGGGAAAGGGAGGAAACGACTCAATGACCGGTGCCTTACAATAGCGAAACAGTCGCTCTATTTTCTCTATCGCTTCGCTTGACATCTATTCAACGGAATGAATGAATTGTTCGCTCACTTGAAATCACTTTCCACTCAAACTTACTTATGATTAATATTTATAAATAATATCATTTCATTTCAAACTACAATTCATTATAACATTGAAATTAAATTCTATTCACAAATATCTTCCCTTTCAATACAGAATCGGCTATTCTTTCAATGATTTCTATTGGGATTACAATTGTCTCGTAAATGTCTGCTTTATTTTGTCAATATCTTTAAATTAACATTGCATTAACTATTATTATTTAATATATAATTACTATGGAATGTTCACAACCAAAATGGTGACTTATATCGCCTTTATATACAAAGTACATTATTTTGGTTTATTATTTATTAATCGATTCCTAAACGTATCAATTTGAGTTTTATAGTCTATAACTTATAGATATTAACCATTATTAAAATTTATGATTCAATAGTAGATTGAAAATCTAATTCAAGATACTATTGGTATGTATAGAAGCTGTGGTTTAAAAATTGATTAATAGATCTTCAGGGCTTTATTTGGACACAATTTTATAGCAATTTTTTGATAATGTGACCTCTAATGGCTTTTACTTGAATAATAGTATAATATAATAATATATTATATAATAGTTTAATAACAAAAATGCATCATTACATTGCAAGTATTACAGAGAATTATATTTGAATATATCTTGATAAGTTTTTATACTTTAAAACATTATTATTTAGAAAATCATTTTAGAATTATTACTTAATTTGATTTGAAAAATTCAATTTGTTTTTATGCAGTATATTTATATGGTTTGTGTTTGTTTTTAAGTGTTGTTTCAAAAATTGAAATTATTTTGTAAATACTGTGTTAGTAATGCATTGATATTTATTAAATTAATGTAAAATTATTAATAAGCCTATACAAGTACAGCACTAATAGATTGTTTGGTAGTTTATCTTATAAAACTAACCAACGATTATAACCTAACCCTTAACTCTCATAAAATTATATTTTTAGAAATAGACTAAAACTAGTGATTATATCATAAAAGACAAACTCATGAAACATTGTTCTCAACGCATCCCTTATCTACTTAAAAACAAATACAAACCAAAAGTTTATATTACATTTATATCACTTTAAATTCGCAAAATAATTACATTGATGTAAAATAAGTTAAAATAAATGATTGTCAACAATGTCGGTGCGATTATCGTATAATATATTGATTGAATCGCCAAAAGTATCGATTTGTTGAAAGAATAGGCCATAGAATGAGATAAATTTGATGAAACAAAACAGAGACAACACTTTCTCAATAGTAAAGTACATAAATTGCACACAATTGGTGTGTAAATCGATTGAATTAAATGTTTTGTATTTTTATTGTACACTATTTTTACAAAAATTTTGGACATTCTTTTGGCGGAGAGAGAGAGAGAGAGAGAGAGAGAGAGAGAGAGAGNCTATTTTTACAAAAATTTTGGACATTCTTTTGGGAGAGAGAGAGAGAGAGAGAGAGAGAGAGAGAGAGAGAGAGAGAGTGAGAGAAGCCTTAAATGAAATGCAAGGAAAACATTATTAGTGGTTCTGGTGTTGTATTTGATGTGTTATGTAAACAGAAAATATATCCAATTTTGGTCTTTTCTCTGTTAAAACTTTTCTCTCTTTTATTGCAAAGTTTGTTCAGTATTTTTGATATTAAAACAGCCGTTAAAACCGATAATATTTTTTTGTTGCTTCAAAATACTGTATGATTCGTGAAAAATAGATTCAAAATTATTCATACAATAGATATGAGAAGAGATTTATTTGGAGAAGACTTGATCTGAAAGCAAATCAATACCAAAACTGTGGGCAATCTCTGGTTTATATATATATTTATATTGCATTGAATGGAAAGTAAAAAGAGGCAAACTTTTGCTTAAAATTTATTTTATCAGTAAAAGAGTAGACATGTCTTTGTTGTCATTCGCACCGATTTATGCTCTCATGGATTAGTTATAAATTATAACTTATAATACATTATATAAATTGAAGGCATTTCTCTTTATAACAAAATATAAGTAAAACCTTCTAATATAAGAGATAGATGTGCTATGAATTGATTTATTTAACTTAAATCAGTTAAAAACAAAGTAAAATCGATGCCAAAGACAAGTCAATTCAATTGCCTTCAATTCCGGCACAAATAATCACAAAATTTGTTGAAATTCTCTTAGTATTTGAGAAAATGACAGACAAAGAGTGGAGACGACGAAGAAATGGGACAATATTTATATGTGATTTGTGTTTCAAATTTCTTTATAAACATTTCAAATGTCTATTCAAAAACTTTCTTTTTTCTAAACATTTTAATTTCAATTTGAATGACATATAGAAAGTCTCCGAAACAACGAGAAAATCCAAATCAATAAGAAATAAAATATTTAAGGCTTTTTTCATATTATTTGTGTCATTCATGTTATGGATTATACTTGTATTGAACACAACAATCAAACGACTATAATATGATCCCCAAAAACTTCAAAGATGTTGAATGCAATGACATATTTTTTACTTGTTTTTCAATTTTTCTTTATTCAATATCTCCTATAATTTCTTAGACATTATAGGAAAATGACTTCTAACTGTATAAAAGCTCTCGTTTTTATTCAGCCATTAATTTATTATTTATTAAAATAAATATTTTATGAAAACATAAGAAAAATACTTAAGTAAATGAAATGCTTTTATGTAATAATGAGAATAAATGTGTGCAGAAATTATTATTGCAAATAACACCAGAAAATCAGTTAATCCTTAAGACAATCACAAGTAGTCGTAAATGTGTTTTGCGAGAAATCTAATTGAGTTTTATATAACTTAATATTACACTGTTTTTCGTGTAATAAAACACAACTAAAATATTAATAATTTAATTATTGTGTGAAATAAATCATCGCTTAATACTATACTACAAATCCTTACAATTCTTCTACGGTTATAATCTCTCATTTCCTGAGGACTGCATTACATTCAGTGCTTAATATAAATTTTATTAATTAACAATGTTTAATATTTGTTCAAATTAGTTATTTTGTTGATAGTTTTCTATAATTCATATTTATTTAAACAAAGTTACCATATTATAATTACATATTTAAATAAATATTTGGCCACTTTTTTACTAAATATTATATAACATATTTGATTAGTTATAAATATAAATATTTCCAATCTTTAATGATTATAATTAAAATGATTGTCATTTACTTTACCAAATAAGCAAGGTAAATTACAGTCAATTTCAAGACTAATATCGCTACTGTAGTACTGTAATAGCCAGTAGTCAGTAATGTGGGTCATTTAAAATGATAACTCGGGGTCTGTGTTAAGAGCAAGTCGTTTACTGTTTTAAGAAGTGAGACATTAAACCAATAGATAATTACACTTTCTTCTTGTTTTACTCATTCTGTGAAGTGTTTTACTCTATAAAGTAAAATAACATTATATTTAAAAAAAAACTATTCTTAAAATAATATTATCTAAAACAATAACATACCATTAAATTTGACAAATTAAATAACTTTTTTTTAAAACAAAAGTTTTTATTTTTCAAATTTCATAGAAACTGAGGATCCGGGAAGAGCTTACGGAAGGGGTGAGTGATTGTTCATAAGCTCTTTGTTTGGCTGCGGATTAGTCCCAGTGTTGAGATTTTATTGAAATAAGACACTAATAAAAAAATGAATGTATAATTCTTGATGTTATAGGCGTTGGATTCTTTGTGGGTGAGAATAAGAGACTAATTAATATTTAACATAAAAAGCGATATTTGTCTAAATAATTGAAATGACTGTTACGGAAAGGCGAGCCGTGTATCTCGACATGCAATCAGATCTTATTTCACGTCACGTGTAACCTATCGACCCATGTCTGCGAGTGCCTCAAAGACTATCCCGTGAACGTCAACAATAAAAATTGTCGAAAAGGTTTGCATTAAATAAAAACTGAAACTCTTATGTCTCTGTTTTATGTGATGTTGACATGAAATATATATAACATTATACTTTATATATATTTAACTATTATTTTTATATTTAATTCCGTGTTTCGAAAGCCGTTCGCAACGGAGGGAAATGCGAGTTCACCGAAGAGTGCAGTTATTTCGACAAAAACACTGTCTGTACTAACGATGGCTTATGTCAGTGCTCTGAAGGTTACAACTCTTTTCAATTTGTTTTGTCATTAGTTTTTGATAGAAATATAAATTAATTATGAAATAACTATTCACTGCTGTACAATATAAACTGATCTATGTTTAGACATTGATCGAAACTAATTAAAAATATGTCAAAATTTTAATGAGAAAATAATTATTAAACGAATATTAATTTCAATATTCTAAGGGATTAATTTAAGTCTTAACTTAAATTTATGGAAAGCACTTTGAATTTCAAATCATATAATACTAGTAATGGTTTGAGTAAATTGAGAAGTTAAGTGTGGAGTAAAGATTTAGTGTTTTAGTGTAGTATAGCATCAATTTAGACATGAAATATAAAATTAATGTTTTGATTAATAGAAATGATAGCAAAGAGTGTTGTATTTGTTTGAGAAGTTGTAGAAAGAAGCGGATTCTGAATCTGTAAAAAACATTTACTCGAAAAACATAACAAGGAATGTGTGTTCGCTATAATCGAGACATTAATCTCTTTCATAGGCTATGATATAAAAAGTGAGGACAACAAGAAAGAAAACGTATGCTCAGCCGGTATGTCATCCCATTTCGTCGCCATTCACTTCAAACTTATTCATTAATTTGTTTTTTGCTTTCAAAGTGGATTCGCCAATGCATTTGCGTATAGGGGCCGCAACTTATGAGTTCTTGAACAATGCAGATCTGACCACTTTGTTAAGCCTTATTATAAGTCTATTTCTGCTTATATTCCTCTTCTGTTTTGTTATCAAACTCTTCAATAAGTAATCATTTAATATATTTATATATATTCTCTAATGCCTTATGAGAAACACAAAAATATACAAACATTACAAAAGAGTTTGCATTATTTGGTCACATAATTAGAGCGCGTTTTAGCGATGGCAGTGAGCGGTGCTATTCGAGAGCATCGGTGCCACCGGTTATATTGACCGGACACGAGACGATCGCCGCCTCCCGGAACTCCAGCGCCAGGAGTTGTCATGAATACTTACCACCTTCTCGTCGGGCCAGCTATTCCTTGTTAGCGCCCCCGCCCTCTAACTTAGGTATGAAACCACACATTCAACTCCCGGTCCGAGTTATAGACTCACTCTATACACACTCATATACACTATACACACTCACTTTATATAATATATTAATAATAACTGTTGGGTTAGTGTCTCGACGTCCGAGTATGTCATCCATACGCTCTCAAAGTTCCTTAAGAAGCTATTCGTCATTTCGAAGTCAATCATCGTTTAGAAACTATAGGCCAGGGATTGGCGTTCGCGAGCCCTTCCGCAGAACCACGTCCTCACCGGTCGACTCAATGCAACAAATTGTGTCCAATTCTTCCTTCAATACCGAACAACCCTTTCGACAAAACCATTTCAACACTAACTTAAGGAACAAAAGTGTTAGTATTGATCCATTTATTACATTTATTGTATATAAAAACATGGTTTTCTAATTCATATAAATAAGTTGTTTATCACATGAGAGAAGAGAATTAGTGAAGTGAATGCCCCAACATTTTTGGGCATTTCCTGAGAGACCTTTAGATTGATTCACTTCCCTTAGTTGCTTCTTCAGGTACATCAACACTCACTGTTCTCTCTCTCTCTCTCTCTCTCTCTCTCTCTCTCTCCTCTCATTTCTATAAAGATGAGACATAAATATATAAATGAAAGAAAGAATTAATTATATTTTGTATTACAATAGGAAACATGTATTATTCACGATTCGTGTGGAATAAACCCTTCAGTGCCTAACCATTGATTCACATTATTTTAGTGCAAAACAAATAACATTCAATCGACAAAACAAAGTTCACAAATGGATTTCTGGACAAACATCTCATCAATTATTGGATTTATATTGAATTAAATGCATTATTTAGACTAAAAATATAAATAAAATGCATTAGAAAACACTGTGTGGCATATGATATGAACAACTTTTAGGACAATTATTAATATTATTGATAAATTACATTAATTTCATTATTATAAATAAATATATATAAGTCTTTCAATACTTTAGCAGATTTTGAATGAATTGTAAAACAAATTTAGAAATTTAATAAATATTACTTTTAAATAAATTATATATCGTTTTTATTTATCTTTAAATGTGATTTAATGACAAATAAATGATTATTTATTATACAAAAAAAATCTACAAAAAAGTCGTCATTGAGTTATGTTATGTTATTTTAAGACAAATAATCAATATTTTAATCATTAATTCAATTTTTGGGTTTTTTCATCATTTCAATCAATTCAGTATAACTTATAATGCATTACAAAGTATTTCAATGTTTTATTGAATTGTATAAAAGAAATAAAAGGAAAGCAAGGCTTCAATACATTAACAGAATATTCTCCCATAAAAATAAAATCTCAAGAACCTCTCTCTCACTCTTAGTCTCACTCTTACTCCTAATCTGTTTTCCAACAAAAAGTTTTACAACTTTTGTCCAGTCTTTCACATCAATGCCTTTCAT